ATGCCTGCGAGGCGAACTGCAAATAGGAGCCATGACGACACCATCAAAGGTGCTCTCTGGGGACACTAAGCTAAGGAATAGATTTTCGGCTCATCATTTTCATGGTCGGCTCCGACCAGTTGGGCATATCCAACGGCCACAGAACCCGCTACGTAAAGCTCGACCTCCAAGTGAAGATCGCACGACCAAAGACAAACCTATGGACAATCCCCCTCCCACCCTCCTCGGAAGGCTTAATCGTGTCTCCGAAGAGAGGAAGCTTCGCCGTGCCGAGTACGGCCGCGAGCTTTTAGTGGCTACATTAGCCGCAAAGAGGTAGACGGAGCAGGATTTCGAGTCGTCGATGCTATATTTCTATTTATTCTGATTTCCGTCTTATTTTCTTCTCTTCTTCTGTGCGTTCGTCAGAGCGGTTCTTAAAGCTCAGAGATCCAGGCATGCTGCGGAGGATGCTTATTCGGCACGAGCTTGTAAAGTCCTGAACAGAAGCACGATAGTGGTCCACAACGTGGACGAAATCGCGGCTTTATTGGAGCTATTAGGAGAAGCTCAACCGCCGTATGGGCTTCGAACGGTGGAGGTTCGTGGCCCGGCCACGGTCGGACATGCGGCAGACCCCCTCGTAAAACAAATGAGGGAGAACCTCGAGGCTAACGGCTTCGAGTTGCGGGAAGGGTACAGTGATTCTCTGCTTTGCTCTTTCGTGTTTTTTCGCCTCCTTCTTCCCTTCTCTCTCTTTTCACTTGTAATTCTATTTGCAGGAACAGTTACGCCCTTCCTCAAAAGGTGGTTCCTCAAAAGGTGGATCAGCAGGGGAATCAGCGGTGGGATGAGGAGGAGGAGGAGGATGATGATGAGTGGGAGGATGATGGTTATGATGATGATGAGTGGGAGGAGGATGAATAGGAGAAAAGAAGAGAAGCATAGCAGGTTCGAGAGAGGAGCATTATGGTTCTATCTTGTTCTTTCGGAGAGATTTTATGATAATTTGTGTTGTTAGTTTGATTCCAAGGAAGTGAACTTAGTTGTGATGTGATGGTTTGCAGCCATTCACCTCTTTTGTTGAGGTTGAATTGCAGAGTGACTTTAAGCACGTTTCAAAACGTCGTTTGTGTGTGATATATACTGCCTTTCAAGTTTCCAGTCTTATTTGAAACGGTGTTTTTCGTGCCCAAGCGGTGACGCAAATGAACCAGAGGCTCCTTGGATCCTCGGTGGTGGTTACTTACCGAGGGTAGCTTTCCTGCAAGGGCCTCCATAGCGTGTCCGCTTCATGAATGTATTCCTTATTTTAACGTGCTGCACGCCTCGCACCCCTAATCAAGGGAAATTTTTTCTTCCCTCACTTTAGGGAATACCCCAGTTTTTTAAGGTTTTGCTTAGTACCATAACCTGGTAACCTTTACATGTCAGAACGCAAGGCCGATGAGCCCAAAGAGAACTGTGGGTCAAATTTTCTGACGAACACAATCTAGTTTCTCATCATGTTTGCGGTCACATTCTCATTACACCCTAGTGCTATGAAAAGGGTCCAGTTCTATCCCTTAAGCCTGAACGAGGCATTGTACAGATCATCCGCCAGTTTTCACAGTTTGGTGTTACATTTTGATGGCTATGTAGAAGTAAGTGGATCTACCCTATGGCCGAAAAACAAAAGAGAAGAAGGCTTATTGTGCCAACCATCATACCAAATTAATAAATTCCAAAGGAGACTGTATGATTCTAAATGAATTTAAGTAAAATATGGGTCATAGAAACTTTTTTTCTAGTTGGTTTGTCATGAATTACCATCATCTCGTGTCATAACAATTGCAATTAGTGAATATCAATTTATCGGCCGCGTCATCGAAAGCGGTTTCCAATTGCTCGGAAATTCTCAGCTATATGGAGGGGGGGTTTGGATGGTGAGCAAAAACAATTGATCAAGAAGTTGGTCAACTTTCGGATGAAAGAAGGTAAAAGAACGAGAGTTTGTGCTATTGTTTATCAAACTTTTCATCACCCAGCTCGAACTGAAAGCGATCGATGTAATCAAGCTTATGGTTGACGCCGTAGCGAATGGCCCACTTTTTCCACCAAGAGAGCAAATTAATGAGTAATGGAAGACGTTAGCAATATTAAGATTTTGCTCGTGTCATGGCAGTACAGATTAACTCTAGAATCAATCAACATTATGATCATCTTGTGAATGACTAAAAATTAAATTTATCCAAGAATTTAAAGTATATTGATTTGTTTGATTAAAATTATTTACCCCACTTTTTCACCAGGCAAGCAAACTTTAAATTTTTTTTTCCCTTGTTCGGTTTCCTTGAAAATTTAAAATTGGACAGTCTCAGTTCCCACTCCCAGTAAGCGAGATTCCTTAATATGAAGAATAAAAAAAACATTATAAGGAAGCATATAATTCTAGAGCAAATTGAATTCCAAAATATAGATAATCGCAAGAAGTAAAATATAATCAATGGAAAAAAAATTTGTTAATGTCATTAGAAAGATCTATGAAATTTCAAGGATATTTACATTACCTTTTCTATTGGCCAATTTTTTTTTATTTTATGAATGACTATCAATTATTTATAAATCATTATGTTTTGACTAAATTATATTTTCCTAAAAAGCCGATTTTTTTTCCTTAAATATACACGCTGATTATATATGATAGAATATATAATAAACAAAACACTTGTAAAGTAATAAAGATGGCCACAAGCAAAGTCACTCTCTGATTTTACCCACTCACCGGTTGGATTTGAAACTCTAATGCAAAATCTATATAACGATTGGTTTAAACAATTTATAGCGATATTTTCATCCTTTTATTTATTTAGAATTTTCGAAAACTAGTTTTCTTTTTATAAATTTCTAACGCAATACGAGAACTCACTAAATTATGCGGCCGTCTTATTTTATTCTATGTATTACAGATAAAATGTTAAAGAATACATTCGATTTTGGAATAATATCCATGATCTGAAGAACACAGAAAATTTATACATGCATCGAAGTACACTGAAAATTTCATCTTCCTCTCTTCCGCACACTACTTTATTTTATTCAACTGCAGATTTCAAAACAACAGCCGAAACATAACGAGAACATGTGAATAGAGGTAAAAGGCTCATCAAAATTAGGGAAAACTTCAAATAAGGATCCGAAGTGCTTTCATTTTTTCAAATAGGGGCCTGAAATGAACCATGTGTCAAGTAAGGACCCGAAGTGCTCTCATTTTCTTAAATAAGGGCCTGAAGTGAACATTGTCTCAAATAAGAGTCTGAAGTGGCCATCTCAATTTCAAAAAAGTGCCTCACTTCACCGAAGTCAAGGACATTTTCGTCTTTTAATTTTTTTGATTTTTAGTTTTTTCCATAAAAAACAAACTCAAAAATGAAAAAAATAAAATGAAGTTTGAAAAAAAAAAACAAGGGGAGGCCAACCTCTCCTGTGGCCGCCACCCCATCGTCGGTGGGGCGGCGGCAATGGCCAACGGAGCCTCAGCGGGGGCCGGCGACCCTCGCCGGCCAGAGAGCCCTCGTTAGAGTCGGGAGAGGGCGGCGACCCTTTCCCAGATTTGGGCAAGGGTCGCTGGCCCTCGCCCAGGTCTAGGGGAGGGCCGCCAAACCTCGCATAGGGCTGGCGGCCCTCCTTGCAACCTGGACGAGGGCCGGCGATCGGGGCGAGGTCTGGCGACCCTCGCCTAGATCTGGGAGAGGGTCGCTGCCCTCTCCCGACTCTGGCGAGGGCCAACTGGCCCTAGCCTCTTGCTGGCGAGGGTCATCGTTAGGGCTGACTACCAGCCCTATCCCCTATTTTTTTTTAACTTTTTTTAAATTTTAAATCTAATTTAACTAAAATTATGTTTAGACGAAAATGCCCTTGATCGGTTGGAAAATTTGGCCGGCCGGTGAGCCGGCGGGGTGAGGCCTCTATTTGAAACTATTGTAACCACTTTAGGTCCTTATTTGAGAACATAAGTCCCCTTCAAGCACTTATTTGACACAAAGTCCACTTCATGTTCTTATTTGAAAAAATGAGAGCACTTCGGGTCCTTATTTGAAATTTTCCCTCAAAATTATCACGGTCTTCTCCCTCACGTGTTCTTGTTTTAAGTTATTTATACTATGCGCCCCCGAAAAATGGAATCGTTGCGAAACGAACCCCTCCGAGCCCAAACAGAAAAGATCATACGTGCATAATAAAATTAATTCGTCTATGCACGACACAGTAGAGTCCGTTACCAATTCGTAGAATTAGAATATTTAAAAGTGTAATATTGGTCGTTAGCAAACACTTAAAAAAATTTAAATATAAAATAATAATAATAATAATAATAATAGTTAAATGGAATAAGTTAAGTTAAAGAACGAAATATTTTCACCCAAGTATATATTTACTTATTTTTTTTATATGTATATAATTCCTTATATTTCCAAGAGATGGAATGCTTTTCCCCGAGTGCAACAATTGTGCGGGAGGCAAAAATTTTTATTGAAAAGGGTTAATATTACGAAAAATTTAAATTTGTACACTTATGATAAATTTACCCCTAATTAATTTTTTAACTACAAAAAATTCCAAAATGATACATTTGTGATAAATTTACTCTATATTAAATTGGATTAATACCATGAAAATCATAAATTTGTAAATCTGTAACTGAATAAAATCGTGTCATCAAACCCATCAAATTGACGGTAAAATTTAATGAAAGCTAATAGAGGGTAAATCTGTCACAAGTGTATCAGTTTGGGATTTTTGGTAGTCAAAAAATTAGTTTAGGATAAATTTATCACAAGCATACTGATTTGGAGATTTTTGGTGGTATTGACCCTATTGAAAATATGAATCCAGAAATCTCGTCGGCAAAATTCGCAGCAGGTGACTGAAGGATCCAATTGCATAAATCAAAAAATTTTGGAGATCCAACCATGCATTTGATAAGAGTTGAGGACCAAATGTGAATTAAATAGAAAAATGAAATCAGATGGACTCTTCTCTTTCTTTCTCTCTCGCGCGGAACAGAGTCGCATCGTTGCTTGGCGCTGCTGTTCGGGAGAGATGGGAATCGAAGCTCTTGCTCGGCACACGCTGAAGCGTCGCATGCAACGCATTTAGCTCTCGAATTCGTCCACGATCGAGCTCGTTTCGACGTCGCATCGTGCGGTGAAATTAGCTGGCCATCGATAGGCCTCTCTCGCGAGCATGATGTCGCCGAAGCAAGCCTCCGAGGACCGAGGATCGACCCAGTTCAGGTAAAGCCTCGGAGTCATGCTTATTCGCGTTCAATTTTCTCGCGGCACGGATCCTAAGGATGCTTGCTTGGTTTGCCGGAGTGAAGTGACCGATGTCTTGTGCTGACCCTGTTTTGCTGTTCCCCGAGGTCGCGACAAATTGTTGCCCTTGGGCTGAAATGTCTGCTTGAAAGCGATTAGGAATGGCCTTTTTTTTTTTTGTTCTTTTAACTGTTTGATTTCTGGGTTTGAGTCCGGTCGGGGCTGAAATTGCGGGAATGTGGATGGACTACTTGAATTGGGTAGAGATGCAAATGGTGAGATTGGATGCGGTTCACGCGCGTAGTGGATTCGCAATGTGGGTGGTTGTTTTGTTCGGCTAAAACCGTCTCTCGGGTGCAATTCGGGCAGCCGCGTATTTATGTTTTCGATGTTATAAGTGATGCATAGCCACTTCCTCTTTGATTGGTATGTTGCTGCGCGCATTGCTCATGCGGTGGTCGATTCTTATGAGTAAGCTAAGCTATACTTTTCTGGTGCATAGGCATCTCATGGGTTCGTTACTTGACATATATGGTACGATAAAGTGGGCAAAAACCAATGACCAGCGGTCACGTTCTTTCTGTAGGCACACGCCCTTGCAGATAATTCATATATTGGGCAACTTTTTGAGAATATGGTCGGTCTACTCAATGTACCGTTACTTGACCGAGACGGGAGCATCGGTTCTGCTCTTTATCTTCTGTTGTCTGGTCCCTGCAACAATCCTGTTTTTGTTCCTGCAGAAGCCTTGGAAGGGTAGACCGCTCTCTAATACTCAGGTAAAGCAATGAGGCTTTCCTCCTCATCCACTCTTGCCGAAAGAAAATGTGAATCTTTGTTGTTTGATTCTTGTGACATGTTTTATCTAATCTTTGGGTTTCAGGTCGTTCCTTCAGTGATAAATGGCGCCATAACAGCTCTCTACTTCGTTTTGTGGGGCAAGGGCTTGAAGCTATGTGGACCACTTAGGTAGGTTTCCAGAGTCTATGAATTAGTAAATTTCATTTAAACATTTCCTGTCACTTTTTTTCTGGGAATCACCAATAAAGAGCACCATTGCAGTGAGTCCACAGTTGGCGGAAGTGGTAGATGTGTGAAAGGATTGATACTTATTCTTGGCTTTGATCTCCATCTGTGCAGCTTGGATTTAGTCCAACTAATTATTAAATGTACAGCTATTGATGTAAATTGACAAATTAGGACATTTTCTTTATAAGAAAGCGTATTTTAGTATTTCCTCTGTTTAGCATTGCTTGAAAGTTGAGTACTCATGAAGTCTTTGTATATAGACAAGTTTGCATTTTGTGTCTCTAATGCTGCTGCCATTGTGGTTAATGAAAAAGCTGAAACCGTTTCCCACAAAAAGGGTCCTTTATTTTGTAAATCTTGTTTAGAATTAAAAGAAATGTTAGGAACTTCTGCAATCACGTTGCTAGTCGCAATCTTCTATTTTGTTGCTTTTCTCTTGCATATTTAACTGTGCAGATCTTATGTTAAGTTTGTCATAGACATTATTCATCAACTTTCACCTTTTGTTTTTTCACTTAAATAGAGCTTTAATGGCGGAGTATTCTGGTGCTGTTCTTGGGGTCTTATCTGCTGTACTCTATGGACAAAGACAGCATCTATGGAAAAAGGTAACCCTTTTTCCCCTTGAATGCTTGGATTTTATAAGAGGATCTAGATAGAGCTCAATGATGTGAGAGATGTCATGCATTGACTGGCCCAGCAGGAAACTGCTTTGTTTGTTTTCACCATTGTTGTCAAGTGGGACAGAACCATGTGATAAGCGAGTCAATAGTGAAAACAAACAATGCGCGGTCTTATTCCATATATGTTAGAGAAGTCTTAGCGCATAGCTTTTATGTCTACAATTGCTTGGAATGCCTATGCACGTGACCAGTCATAGTTCATATCCTTCTTTTTTATTCATTATTGTGAATCTAGAAGATGGTCAAATAGTGATTTACTGCATCAAGAAAAGGAGAAGGACAAATGTTAATAGATTATCCTCTCTATAGCAGGATTGACCGATAGATCTATCCGGCATACATTGAAGTTCATTTTTTAAGCTAATTGGGTGTCATAAATTTGTTAGTATGATCGTCTTGCACTATTCTTTTATAGGTTGGCCGTTTGATAGTGACAGAAATGATCACTCGATATTGTACTCATGTTTTCTTCCTCCAATCAGTGAATATTTCTTCCCTCTACAGGTTGGCGGGTTGGTGGCAATGGTGGCATCTTTCTACCTGTTGTCGCAAGGATGGGCTATGGCCTCATATTTTCCAATAAATATCCTGTAACTAATGGAATAGTATTTCATATTTCAACAGCATGAAACTCATAAGTCTTAAACTAGCATTAGTTCTGCTCTTATTCTGCCGAAATTGTCAGATCTTTATTTGTCATGTCTACTTTTTTGTTGTTAGTCCACCTGTTCAATGTGATAAATACGTCTGGCATATGAATGTGGACTTAACTTTAACATACAGTTTGGAGAAAGCCCTGATACTGGCGTTCAGACAGAACACAATCTGGGTATGAAAGAAATGATACTTCCAATCTTTGCGGGAATCCTGTCAGCATTAAGGAGAGTGATTGCACGACGTGTCTCACTCAAGGTTTTGGCATTTACTTGTCCGGAATTATTTCTGTAATTTGGGACTATTCTATTTTAGAAAAGCGTTTTTCTAGATAAGAAACTAGCAAATAACTACTTAAAATCTAATTCCATTGTGATTTTTGTCCTTGCACATGTCAGAATCAATATAAAAGAAGACTTCATGCGATAACAGTTGCTTCTGCGACATGCTTTCTGTTTCCTGTGGCGATGTGGGATATGATCATAGTAAGTTTTTTAGTGAGTTATATAGTGTTATGCTGTTGCTGCATAAAGCATTCATTTATTTATACTCATGCTTATTTTTTATGGATACTCATCTGCCTTCCCCCTTTATTGACGGATCATTCAGGGATCAGAGTCTGCTGGTAGCAAGGATTTACCATTTTCAACATGGGCTTTTATGAGCACCATTGCTTTTGGGATTATCTTGATATTTTACATTGACAATATTGCGGAGGAGAGGTACCTTACTAAGAATTTGGTCATTTGAGATTAATATCCTGTGGGTTCTCATGGCATATGAATTGATGATCGTGTTTCAAAAAAATATGACTGTATCTTTCTGGAAAGTTATATTTGGTGATAGACAAACTCTTGGAGAGCAGACTATGTAGCAGATGAAAAAACCTTTCTCGAGCAGCTGTCTACTCTTTAAACGAAAATCTGCTCATTATTTTGGGCTACATTCCCTCGCCAATCTGCCATTTCAGCATAAAGTAATCAAGCTCTCGAGTCTAAATTAGCATAGAGTTGGACCTGTATGAGTCTCAACATTGGGCAATGCAATTACAAACTTTCAAGTTACGTAATTGGTCTTATCATTGTTCTCCTAACTAGACAGACCTATTCAACCATGTTTAATAGAATCACCATTCACGTTGTAGGATCCTGCAATTTTAAAACAGGGAAAAACATGTAGGATTTATAGGATCCTACTGATTCAGTTTATCAATTAATCTCTTTATTCAAAATTGAAATTTGCATAATTTGATATTTTAGGTTATGGAATATCTTCTGTTCTTTCGATTTTGACTTTTTGGAGTTTTGATCTCACACAATATCATAATTGATAAATATAACTCACAATTCTAGTTGATTTCTTGTTAGAAACTTATCCAGTCTTACAATGCAATCCGTCAAACATCCCCATCGATTCGAAGCAGAATCAGATTATAAAAACCTTGAGTTCAGCTGGTTGCTCTAGATACAGGAACCTGGTCTTGTTTGGTTTTCTTTTATATTCCATCTTGGTATGGACAAAACAATATTCACCCTGTTCAACCAGTCAAACTAACAAGGCAGTCAATGTGGTTTGACCAGATATGGGCACTTTTAAAAATCAAAGAACAATGGTGGGGCAAGGATCCAATTTCCTGCCCTCTTGGAACAAGTGCCCATTACTTAACAGTCAGGGCAACGAACTCTTTAGATACAGGCATCAAGTAATGTCAATTATAAAGCTTCATTCCTGGGGATATAACTGCTGGCCTGTGCTGGAGAGTCTTGAAGCACACCCTCAAACATCTGATGGTGCACACTGACAACTTTGCTAGACTGGAATTTGTGTCCTTGGTATAATTACTTTATATAGGTTACCTACCTTTTGAAATCTATTTAACCAACCAGCGAGTTCGACTATTCCAACCAGTTCAACTGTTGACCAGCAAAGTACAAGCCTGACCGGCTCTTACACCAGTGCAAAAGCCTTGCAAGATGATATTTTGTCATGTTCTCACCATTTTGATGTTTTCACCCATCTGCCTTTGCACTTACTAAGACAACTCTTTACGGTCTGCTTTTTTTTTTTTTTTGGTCGATCTTTACGGTCCGCTTGATGATCGTCTCTTCTGAGGTTCTTTAGGCTCCAAATAGCTAGAGTTCCAACCTATCACTTAATTAAGGGGAATAAAAGGAAACGCCTGTCATAAGAGGCATTTCCATCAGTTTTCTTATGATCTAGTTTGTCTAGCAAGTTCTTGAGTTATATGAAGATCTGATGATTGTTAATGTGGATTACCTTGTTGACAACTCTTACAATTTGTCTTCCTGCAGATTGCACATGGTTTTTTCTTCTCCGCGTCATCTGATGGTAGCTGGTGGATGTATCATAATCATGGAGATTGTTTACCAAATGGACTTTTCTCTTCTGGGATTTCTAATGTGTGCCTTAATACTAGGCTTTGGTAAGCTTGGAAACTCTTGATTAATAATGAAGCAACACCGAAAAAATATCATCTTAAAAGTAACCAATGTTTAGTTTGTACTGTCAAACCAATACTAACTACATGTGAAAAATCCCACCAAAAAAAAAAAAAATACTTGTGAATAAGTTAAGTATGTTGTGTACCTTAAATGGTCACTGCCCATTCATATGTTAGATGGGAAAATAATGGGCATCGAGGCCAATATATGAGACAATAAAGTTGCAACTCAAGAGAAACCCATTTGTAAGCATTTACCATGGCTCAATTTTTTTAAGTCAAATAATATGTTAAATCTGGTGTATTAAGCAGAAAGTTTCAGTCAAAAGATTGCGCAAGCTTTTAGGTTGTTAAAAATTTAGTCAAGTTTCTTCTCTATGCATCTTCCATCTTTAATTCATCTTAATTACAAGGGAAAGTTTCATCAACTAATGGAATTGGAGAAGCATTTTTGGCTCCTTGATTTTAAGTTGGTACATACATCTGAGAGATATAATAGCTTGCTGTGATCTCTATGTTGGTTTCAAACATTGGTATTTTTACTAGATTATTTGATGTGGAGAACTAACGTCTTGTCAGTCTAAAGAAAGTTTTACATTCCGGATTTCCATTTATGGGATACCTGGAGATTTCAACTAGTCAAAGCTGCTCTTCTGAGGAGAAATATCCAGTTATTTTCTGCTCTGTTTCTAAACTTTTTTCTACATTCATAGAAATAAGGAGGTATATTATGCTTGTAATATTGCTCTATGCCCCTTAAAAGACGGCAGAATGATAGATAAATGTGAAGATCACGAGGAAATGGGAGTGCTCAATTGATTATATATACACATATATGAACAAACTTATTTTTGTTAACAAACCAGCATTTGGTATCATTGTTACCTTGCAAACTACTGTCCCATACTCTGCCTGGCGTATTTCATCTAAATGGGTTTAACGTCATCATTATGCTCTATGTCCATTAGGAGACGTCAGAATGATAGGTAAATGTGAAGATTACGAGGAAATGGAGTGCTCAATTGATTATATATACACATATAAACAAGCTTATTTTTGTTAGCAAACTAGCATTCGGTATCATTGTTACTTTGCAAACTTCTGTCTCACACTCTGCCTGGCATATTTCATCTAAATGGGTTTAACGTCATCATTATGCAACTTTTGAGGCCACAGCTGATATGTGAATAATGAATTTTATAGGGATACATGCAGCAACTTCTTTACAGCGTCCTAGAGGAGATTCTCTCCAAAAATCAGGCCTTTCTGATGGCATTTTTGGTGACGAAGTACAGATGTCGCCACTTCCAACTTGAGAGTTCTTTATGAGGTTTGAATGAATGTTGGATGAACCCATAGTTGCTCACATAACTTTGTCTTATTGATTCTTGTATTCTGATGTAAGTTGGGACTCTATCAACAGTTGATGTGACATCCGCAATGCCTCCTCTGCGAGCATAATTGAGGTAATAGGTCTGGTGGCATTTAATATTGAATTGTTTAAAAATTATTTTCATAGGCGATAGATTGGCTGCACCCTTGGATTGAAGTATTAAGGTCGCATATCAACATTGTAAGCCCTTGAAGTAACATCCATTGGACTTAATATTTCCAAATAAGTATCCATCCTAAATCCTAAGAAATTCAGAAGCATCGAGCTGAGTGTCTGATTTCATCTTATATCTTTTTATAACTAAAACTCTCCTTCCTATCTTTGAAACTCTTCTTATCCAAGAATATCATGCAGACATTCTCATCTAAGAAACTTTTGACGTTCACCGTAATTGTTTCTATTTCATCTAATAACTTGGCTGTTCTCTCTGCTGACAGTTCCATTCTTCATGCAGTGCCATTCTCGAGTTTTTTCCCATCTAGCCTGTAATTCTTTTGGAAGATAAAAGCTGCTAACTTCTCACATCAGTTGCCATGGTTGTTCCGTGATATGACCTTGCGAGGCAAAGATGAATAAGTTGTCTTCTTTACCCGGTAATGAGAAGAAAATTCCTGGCATATTGCTCTGACCTAGACTTCATCTTAACAGGAGCCTATTTTGTATTGCCGCTTTGCATCACATGTGGTAGCCTAACTTTTAGTTTCTGAAACACAACACCTGTATAGATTTACATCAAAAGGAGTTACTTTGTAGTTTGCGCCTTCTCAATGATGACCTTATTGTTCGCCTTTGGCAATTTATAGAACCGTGCACGTAGTGATCATTTGAATGAAGAGGTATGAACCTATATTAAGTTAAACTCCCGTCCATATTTTTCCAAGGAAAAGAACAGCAACATCTATATGTTATGAGATCTGCTTTTACTCTGGTGCAACACTGTCGTATTACTTCTTTATTAATATTTTTATTAACATCAAATGATCAGTAATTCTCTCTCTTTATGTCGCAATTTTTCTATAGGGATAATGAATATAATGTCTACAAACTATCAGACATTCAATTTCAATTTTATAAGGTTCAATGTATAAAAAATATCCAAAGCTTTTTACAGTCCTTTTGCATGGTCCTTCCTTTATTATCCGCAAACTGTTTCTTTATTTTTAGTTGGCTTGAGTGAACTAATTTGACGATCTGTACATGGAATGTGGCAACCAATGGAAGAAGGAGCCCAAATTTGAAGTGACACACTTGAACCCATTTCAATGTTTTCTCAAATCATACCATTTGAAGAATGACCAGTAAAGTAGTTCTCTCGTTTGTCTTATAAGGGCTTGCACGGCCACATTTGGGTATAGGAAATACTGTGAAACGAGTGGAAGACGAGCTAAGAAGCTTCAAAAGAAAATATGTGAAGGAGTTATCCAGAATTAGAGCCAAAGGTGTAAAATGTGTTGGATTTTGCTGGGTGTCCTGTTTACAACGTACAAACCCATTCGGGGCAATTTTTTGTTACAACTTAATTAAACCTTTATGGAAACCCTACAATCAATCTGTTTCGAAAGAATTCGAATGTAGACGCCCCTTTCTACTCAATCTCTCGCTGTCTTAACCGGGAGGACGGGTTTTGATCCTTTTCTAGCCGAGGCGGGGCACTACAAACCCGACAAGCGAGGGCCTCTGCGGAGTCCACGCTACTGTGGGCTGGAGCACGACAAATTTGCCATGTTCGAATCACGACGGTCGACGTTGACAAGCTAATAAAAAAGAATGCTTGGAGCTATTGGTTAACACAACTGTTGGCAAGTTGCCTGCGCACACGGTCACGAGAGGGTAGAACTGGTGCTCATCGAATCATCACCGTTTGTCTGTCTGTCTGGGACAATCATATGGCCCATGCAAGCCATATAATCTTAGAAGCACATGGATATGTACGAATGACTATATGGTAAAAACCCAACCACGTGGAGAAATATTTCCGGACCGCCAAACGTAGCCGACATGCTTCGGGCGGATAACATCGTTTGTGTATCCAATCAACGAGGGAATACCAAATGTTCTCGTTATTTTCGACCTATAAATTATTATTCGTCCAATGTATTTTTAATATATGACCGGTTCTTCGAAAGGACCTCAAAACTTCTCCCGCAAGCATAGCCTTGTGGGTCAATTTTCTTTTCGAATAAAGTTACTCTAAAATTTTTTTTAGGAAAAAACAAATGGATAGATTTTGTCACCTGCGTCAAAATCTTTTAGCCCCACGTTCCATCTATAACTCTTTATAGATTAGGTGAGGTGGAGTGGTGTCCAGATCATAGATAGAGTATTTTTCATTAATAACGAGTTTTTTCTTGGAAATGGAAAAGGCCAAAAACAAGTACAGAAGAACAAAAGCAAAGGGAAAGTGAGGTGGCAACCATCAGAGGGGCCACGTGTCAATTCCTCACAGCAATTTTAGATTAGATGTGAAACACGTGAACAATAAGAAGTAGTTAAGAATTTTTGGATTAGGATGGTTACTTAACCTTGTCATTAATCTCATCTCACTTTGTTTAAGAACTACTATAAGCATAAATGGAGAAGATATACTCAACTTAGCAAAAAAAAAAGAGAAGATATACTCCAAGATATTGAGATTGAATCGATTGTAATCACACATTAAAAAACCAACACAAAAAAGAAAATCAATTTTTATGTTTCCAAATGCCTTCATTATAGCTTAACACCTACATTATCGTTAATATCCTTGTATGGTCATTCCTCGTGCCGTTTGATGTATCATCGTTATTTCAATCAGGTCTAATTGATTTCAGTGCATAATTAAAGTTCCTGATAAACTGATGATATTTGAGTATATAGACAAGCGTTATACAAATTACTTTCTCGAGCCAATAACACAAACGGTCCCTGAACTTTGGTTTAATATGTAATGCGGTCTCTGAATTTTAATTTGTTCAATGCAGTACCTGAACTTTAACATAATGTTTAATGTAGTCCATGAATTTTAATTTGTTCAATGTGGTCCATTGATTTTTAGTACATGTTCAACGTAGTCCTCGAACTATATAAAAATGTTCAAGTTCAGGGATTACATCGAACATTTTCATATAGTTTCGGTACTAAATTGAATATGTATCAAAAGTTCATGGACGAAATTGAACAAATTAAAAGTTCATGAATCGTATTGCATATTGGGTCAAAGTTCATAAATTATTTGTATCATTTTCCCACCATCTTGTAAGCATGGTTCATAGATGGTGTAATAATATCAGAACATCATAATTGCAATACACGAATTGTTTAAAAGTTCGATTTTTTAACATGTATTTGGTTCCGTTTAATAGGACGAAATCATCCTTACATGGTAGCCGCCTCCTACTAGTCTCGGTGTCTAGAAATCTTAATCCAACCGCCGCTTCACCTGTCCGCGTAATGACGGCAGAGAAGAGCACAGAAATTTCCAGTGCCACCGCGCCGCAATTGTTGACGTAGGTCGCTGCCACGTGTCGCCTCCGGGTCCCCCCGTGCCCCGCCGCGCCGTCCCCACCACCACCACCACAACCCGGATTGACCCCGGGAGTCGTCGCCGGTTCAAGAACCCAAGGCCAGCACGCAACGCTCCCGCACCGCATTCTTGTTTTCCTCGCCACTCAGAAAAGATTCGAAACTTTTCGTTCGGTGAGTTGGTGCTCTCGCTCGGGTCCTTTCTGGGTTGTCATCATATTCGCTTCTTTGTTGAACGGGAAGGCCTTTCGGAGGCATCGTTTGAAAGATTTCGGGTAAGGATTCGTGCCGTGGGCTTACCAGAAAGGAACGGCAGGCATAATTAGGGGGTGCCCACAAATCGTTTTTCGCTTTCTTACTAGATTTTACGGCTCTCCTGCATAATTTATAGCCTTTCCCAACAGTAGAGCATGCGCGTGTTTCATGTGCTTTGAGTCTTGGGGAGGTGGATATGTTCTTAACTGCCCTTGAGGGTTGGTGGATGGTGATCTATGCATAGGAGTTTTAACTACCCTTTTGCTTTTGTGTTTGGAGTTGTGGTCCTTTTGCGTCGTTGGATTGTTGAGGACATGGGTTTTGGGAACTTTAGATACCAGTCTGATTTTTAACATTGGGGAGGAAGTTTGGATGGTTTTCTGGGTTTCAAAGTGTACGTATCTGAATTCTTTACTCTTGCCCAGGTCTGTCGGCCATATAATCGAGGAATTGTTGCCGTGAAGAGGCTGATATTGCAGAGAGACCTGGTACATGCCAGTTTGGTTGGGGGTTCTGCTAAGTCTGCCTAAGACAAGAGAGACTTGTTTTTAACTTCTCTTCCACGAGAGTGAATTCATGCTTTGAGGAGAATATGGCTCCAGAGAGCAATCACCCGTGTCCACCTTCGTCGTTCAAAGCTAATTATGGAGAGGGAGATTTGGTGGTAACAGCTGATGAAAAGGGGGAAGTTCTTGTGGACCTGAAGCAACCGCCGATCGGAAAACCTCCTAGACACCGCATGAGCTCCTCGCAGTTGTCTTCTGCGGTTGAATTGGTTACGACATCCTTTTTTTTTCTTTTTTCTTTTTGGGTGCTGCTCATGAAATGTTGTAGACAATGTGGTTATATTTGATTGTTTTGCTTAGTTGTCTGCAGAATTTGTTTGGCAACTGATATCCTATTTGTTCTCCCTAATTAGGAATTGGAGACTGGAGTAGTTACTGTAGAGCCGTCATCAGATGAGCATCCTCCTTCATCAGATGAACATCCTCCTTTTGTACCGGTATTCCGCTCTGGAAGCTATTCTAACATTGGGCGAAAGCCATCTATGGAGGATGAGCACATCTGCATAGACAACCTTCCCCAACATTTAGGTGCAGCTGCAGAATTTCCTTGTCCCGGAGCTTTCTATGGGGTCTGTAATCTGACTTTTATGATTGTGTATGAGGATTTGTTGTTACTGGTTTGGTAAACAGTATAACTTGGCCTATCACAGTCAACAGTTAGTTTTTTTGTGGAATGCAATGAGATGTTTTATTCTACTATTTCTCCATCACTTCAGGTGTTTGATGGTCATGGTGGCACTGATGCAGCTTCATTTGTCCGAGAGAACATTCTGAGGTTTATAGTCAAGGACACCCATTTCCCCGTCTGTTTGAAGAAGGCTATGAAGAGTGCTTTCTTGAAAGCTGATAGCGCATTTGCCAATGCAGATTCTCTCGACAGTTCCTCTGGTACCACTGTTTTGACTGCCCTTATTCATGGAAGGTGAAAGAGTTGAACTTCATCCATTCTGTTCCACTTTAAATAAATTCTTGGTGCATTAGTGGTTCTTGTAACTTCATTGCCAACTAGTTGAGAATTCGAGCATTTGTGCTTTGACCATGGACCAACTGCGCTTAGATGGTCATGCGATTATTTTAGTAGGAGTTGAGCATCCACCATATTGAAATTTGTATGATTTTGTAGATCAATTGTTCTTCTTGAGGAACTTAGAATGTAAGATTTGCCTGGCGAACTGTATCTGTCTATACAGATCTGAGGTTTCTGAGCCGGCTTTTTACTGTAAAACGGTTTCATTGACAGATTTTAATGATAATCACTCTATCTTCTTGCTCATAATTGGAGTGACTCCTAAAAAGTGCTCCTTCTCTCTTTTCAGGACAATGCTGATAGCTAATGCCGGGGACTGCAGGGCGGTCTTGGGGAAGCGTGGAAAGGCAATTGAGCTGTCCAAAGACCATAAACCTGATTCTACATCAGAGCGGCTCAGAATCAAGAAACTCGGTGGTGTTGTTTATGATGGTTATCTAAATGGTGATCTGTCTGTTGCACGGGCTATTGGAGACTGGCACATGAAAGGCCCTGAAGGCTCATCTTGTCCCTTGACTGCAGAGCCGGAGCTGCAGGAGATGGTTCTCTGTGAAGAGGATGAGTTCCTGATTCTCGGCTGCGATGGCTTGTGGGATGTGATGAGCAGCCAATGTGCTGTTACAATTGCAAGGAAGGAGCTAATGATTCACAACGATCCTGAGAGGTGCTCGAGGGAATTAGTTCGAGAGGCACTTAATCGGAATACGCTCGATAATCTGACGGTAGTAGTTGTATGTTTTTCATCGGATCCACCTCCTCGGCTCGAGATACCAAAGTTGAAGAGAAGTATATCCATTGAAGGTCTATGTCTTCTTCGGGATGCATTGGATAATAGTATGTGATTGGGAGTGAAATTGTAATTCATTCTTCACAATTTTAGGAGGAGCCCTACGGTGTCTTGCGGAGAAAAGGGCCGCCATTCCCGATTGTGCCATCGTATGGCTTGATGTCGGGCGAAATAACAAATGTTTGACGTTTGTCTGTAGCTCTGTGTACATCTTAACATAGTAAGATTTTGTTTATTTTAGATCTGCTATACAAGTAATGGTCTCTCTCTCTCTCTCTCTCTCTCTCTCTCTCTCTCTCTCTCTCTCTCTCTCTCTCTCTCTCCTGATTATAATGGACATATAACAGGTCCTCTTTGTTCATATAAGACTACCGAACAACTGCTGAAATAGGAAACACCGAAGAACTTGCGGCAGCTGTTTAACTTGTAATTTCCAATGCCGGGCTGAGTTATCGCACTCTGAAGTACTAGGATCTCGAAATGCTCGAGACTAAGCAAAACAAGAATGACTTGCAGCTTTCACAATCTACATCTTGGCATCTCGTTCAGATGCATGCAAAGTTCGTATCCTTCATAGCTTAAATCGCTTCAATGGTACTCTTATCAGATTATATGATCTCAAGTAACTACTGGCAGGAGAATCTACAAAGTGTGTAAACATATTTCAAAATTTCAATCAAGATAAATTGTTGAGCAAAAGAATCACGTGAACCATTTTCCGATGTGCTCACGTCTTCTCAAAGTTAATTTACAACAAGATTTGGATCTAATATTGGTCAATTCTTTAAGAATTGGTGTAAGGTACTAAACTGCAACTTAGGTGAAAAAAATCTTCAGCGGCAATGACCACGCATGGAAGCATGAGATCACAGCAGAAGGCAGATGAGAGCTCTAGTCATCAGGATTCCACTCGCTGACGTTTTGCAGATTTGTGAGCGTGATCTCCAATCACATTCTTAGTTATACCATCATCATCGGCGGCATCCGTTTTCTCCCCATTTTCATAATGGAAAATCCAACCAGGAAAATCAGATTCTGAGAACAAAGATGAGGGAGTTGCTGTATAAAATGCAAGGGACACCTGTTTCACCCTTCGTCTCATCTGTGCAGGGGTACAAGAAATGGTTATGGAGAGAGAAGAAATCACATAATACAATTATAGTCGCAGTAAATATGAACATATGATTTTGACTGATACATTGACAGCATATTTCCTGAAAAAAACAGACTACATCAGTGGAATGGAAAAGGCAAATATGAAACTCATTGAACATCAAAAGACACAATGTACTTGACACACAAGCTCCTTCCTCAACATATGCTTGAGATGTAAAACAGCCATGCATTGCAAAGAACAAACATAAAAAGGGAAAAAAGCCTGCCCCCAGAACAGATTCCAATCTAGCTGTTCACCAATGCAATAGAGAAGACAAAACAAACCGAGACAAAAAGTACAAAAGTGAAAGCAAATAATGGAGGCGGATAGGAGTATGAATTATATCTCAAGCACAGCACCACAGAAAGTGAGATGAGTTTTGGAATTTGGAGACTTAAAATTAATTTTACCTCCTCTGCAAATATTGTTCCATATGAACCAGAACTAAAATCTTTAATGCTGACTTCTGTTGTCTTAGCCCGGACTGTCAAATCGCTCTCCAATGATAAGACGAACCTAATATGCACAGGGAAAGGAGTAGAGTTAAAAGCAGGACGTAAAGTGCACTAGAATATTACGACAGGACGTGGCTCCCATACCTTGAAACTGGAGGACAATAATGGTGTCGTAGCGTATCAATTTCCCAAAGTGAACTTCCTGCGATGAGAAATGTCATCACTCATCAGCATGTTACAAAGCAACAAAGAATGTTAGTCAGCCATGTAAATGCCAATTTTTCTTCGATTGAATGAGTTAAACTATGCATGAGATACAGAAAATTTAGCACGCTTACTCATTGCATTAGTCTTCGCAGGATTAACTTCAGTATCCCGGAAATGATCAAAACCAGGTTTTTTAGACAAATCTATTTCAGTTGAGTCATTTCCATTGCCAGCAGTCTGCTCCTCCAATTTCAGCTGATCCTTGGCCTCGGACTCAACATCTTCCTGCACATCTCCACAAATATGTGTATGTGTGAGAGTTTATTTCTCTGGTGGGTGGGGTGGGGAGGGGCAACCAGTCAAACAGGAGCATCATTCCACTAAAATTAAAGGTAAAACTTCCTTCAAAGAGTCCTGGTAGAAGCTCAGAAAAAATATTAAGTTCCAAGCCTACAATTATCCTTTCTTATACATCGGTATGTAACCCAAACTAACAGAGCCACCATTTCACCAAAATTAAAGGTAAATCTGCTTCTAAAGATTCAGCTCAGACAAAAAATCAAGCAGCACCCGTACAATCCATCCTTCCCACCAGACAGTATAAAATTCTAAGAAGTCATTTATTTAGAGAAGCTATGTCCGTCGACGATGAACATAGGAGAAGTTATCAAAGCATCACGACGGAGATACCTATAATGTAAAAAATAACAGCAAATTTGCGAAAGAAAGCCTACAAGCCGACAAAACATGGGTACCACATATATCAGCCTCAATTGCAGTAAGTTGCCACAAATCACATTTGGAAATATTTAACAAACATGGGAGCTTTTTCCCAATCCTTTGGGTGCTCAAATAGCATGAAATACCATTCCAACTGCACCCTACGTTATGCCATTAGCTAGACAAAGAACACACAATCCAGGTAAATACAAGGCGTTACTAAACTCAATGGTCCTTCTTTATTGACATGCACAAATTCAAGAATTATATTAAAAGCAAAAAGTAAAAGTAAATCGAGACAGACCTTAAGGTAGTGGAATTAAAAAAAAATGAAACCCAGGCTCAAAGATCAGATAAATACCCTGTGCACCAAACAGTTGATTGAAGGATGCCGTCGCAAGAGATTGTGGATAAGAGCAACTATAACCAGTGCCCCTGCTGGAGGCACAGAAAGTGCTAGTCGACTAAGTTTCTTAGCAAAAGCAGCAGCCAAATATGCTGGAAGGAGGGGTGATTTTAAGCAGGAATCAAGCAGCTGCAATAAACAATTAGCATAGGGTCAGAAAGCAATCCAAAGGTTCAGAAAAGCATGAATGCCAGATAGATTGTCTCTAGTTTCAAGTTCATCCTCTTAGACATTCATATATTTCTCGACAATATGAGCAGGTCAACATAAGAAAGAGATGAAGCCAGTAAAGCATCCACAAAATGTCAGCTTCATGTCAGGAAAGGTCCAGATCGCTTTATTGGATATCTCTACCACCTCTTCTAATGCACAGGCCTACATGAAATTGCATATCGGTCATCTGAACAACTTACCATTATCTAAGCTGCCAAAAGTAACGGTTCACATATTGCATCAACACAGTTCACGGCAAACACAAACTAAAAACCCTCAATCATTGCTAACTTCATGAATCTATAACAATTCAGACTATTCTAGGTCCCATATAGACATAGATCACATATTCAGATGAAAATTGATGTGACGCAGGACTGCTTGGAGAAATGATCCAGAGTCAGTTACTATATAATATACATGATCAGTCAAAAGATTACTTCGAAAAATTTCGCCCTGTGCTTTGCAATGAAGATGGAGGGTTGCAATAGTGCATAAAGCTTTTCATAGAAGTTGGGATATTCTAAGCCATGTTGCGTCATGAGGATGAAGAGACTGCTGAGAGCCATGACACTGACAACTCCACCAATGTCGTACGATCTCGTCAAAAAATCACTACAAAAAATTTCGGTTTACAACATAAGTTCCAATTCTTGAGCATGAAAGATGTCAAATTGACAAGCAAATGAAAAAAAATTCTGGAAGCAAACTCACCATAACATGATGGGATTAGACAGGCGAGGAATAACTGCCTGAGGGAGAGAGACCAGAACCTGAGTGTCCAAAGCTAGGCATGTCATTTAGTTTCAAATAGAACTTTGGACGTACAGTCAATACAACACCCCTTCTATAAGGAAACCATAGAAGGATAATATGACCATGAGCAAAAGGTTAACTAATATCAATACGACAGACGCTGAAGGAAACACAGTTTTGCTAGTAATTCCAGCAACCCAAACAAGGTCCATACTAAAACATTTGTTCCCCATACCAAACTACTATTAAACGTAGACCATACTATGAGGTTCGGGAGCCAAAATAAATAATCGCTTGAAAAAGACAAAGATTTTCCATATTTTTACATGGCAAACAACCGGCAATGAAGAATACTCGATGGCAAAGGCTCTTTCAAGCTAGTTGCGTCAGTCAACAGGCACTCGAACTTGTTCCAATGTTGATGTACCAAGATGCAAAGATAAATCCGTCATCTAATTCTCCATTTGCATGGTCAAACCATCATATCAAACACAATGAACCAGTGGACAGAGCTACCAGGGGCACCACAGAAAGTCACACTCTGGAAACTTTCATGCGCATTATTATAAAGAAGTTCCCGGAAATACCTCTTTATATACATCAAGTGGAAGTGGCAACCTCAAAAACGAAATCCACGCTTTAGTGAACTTCAATTTTATCTTCTTAGCTATTTTGGTGGCAGACAGTACCTGAAGCGATATTAAACAGAGAAGCAAATACCCATTTTCTATAATAGAAAGTAAGCATACAGATCACTTTGAATATTCAAAAGGAAAAGCTGAAGATCAGGAAAATCTTAAAGGGAAGTAGATTAACCAGTAATACATACAGAAGATTCGTGCTTTTCACTTTTAGGCTTTTCAACTTCTGGTTTTAAAGACTCGGACGTTCCACTACCATCACCTGTTTTTTGAACCAGAAAAATTTTGAATATAGCAACAAGAAAGCATGAACATCCTGTCAAACATGCAGCAATTACCTGAACCACTCCACATCTCACAATCAGATTTTTCATCCAGGTTGTTCAGAGGAGGGACATGCGATATGATGTAATGGATCGTACCAATCGAGCGCTCGATGCTGCAACACATGGAAAATCAATCAGAAAGGCAGGCTAATTGCTCCTAGATACTAATCATCATTCTGTTGTTAAATTCTAAGCATTTTTTTTTTGGCATGTAATAAATTTACCAACAAATTGATGCTTAGTCAATTACCAAGGAACCCTTTACCAGTAATAAATCTAGAAATAACTTCCTGTGAACAACTACAACGACAGTTGGTGTACTCTATACTTTGTCTCTAAATCATATAACTGTGCTTAATT